TCATTGATTGGCATTGTTTGGCATTGTTCGGCATTGCTGGGACTTGCTTTGCGTTGCTTGGTTTTGCTTGGAATTGCTAGGCGTGAGCTTGCATTCATTGGCATTGCTTGGCATTGCTTGTTGTTGCTTGAATTGTTGAGGATTGCTTGGCATTGCTTGTTGCTGCTCGGCATTCCTTTGCATTGCTTGGCACTCCTTGGCCTTGCATTCCTGCGCAACCCCGAGCAACGCCAGGGACCGCCCCCAGACAACGGCAGACAACCCGACCCCAGGCGAGCCCGAGGACCCCCAGAGCGACGCCCGTCTGGAAGGGTTCCGCAAACAAGTAAGAATTCCCTCGGGCAGGGCCAAGTTGGGGAACTGAATTATCCAGATGGAGCCCATACCTGTTTTCATCCTCTGGCTCTCGCTGGGGAGCTCCTCTGATCCGTTCTGATTCGTAAGGCAGAAGCGTGTGCAAGCGTTACACGGGCGAGTGCGAGTTCCTTTTCAAAGTCTTGCTTTTGCCTGGCACATCCTCTGATACCGACGTGTTCATCGAGTAATTATAGAGGTGGGGTGTTTCTGTGTGTCCGCCCAAAAGTTCTGCGTATTTGTGTCATCGCCAGACATGGTCTTCCTTTCGTAGTCATATACGTATGATTGGAAGCCGTCTACATGGAGGGAATGATGTGGCCATTTGGACATCCAGACTGCGTTGGCGCCACGTATTTTTTTCATCTCTCTCTCTCTCTCTGGTTTGTTGTTTTTCTTCCTTTTTCTCAACCTATTTTTGGTATACATGTAGATTGCAGCCGCAGGACCTGAAACTAAAACCGATCAACCGATAAACCGACTCATCGCAAGCGTGTCCAAGTCTCAGCGCAGTATGGCTTTATCGGTTTATCGGTTTATCAGTTTATCGCTTTATCGGTATGTTTCTCCGTTTGCCAGTGTATCGGCCTGTCGGTTTACCAGTTTATCGGTTTATTGGTTAATCGGTTTATCGGTTTATCCGCTCGGAGTTGTCGTAGTTGTCCGAGTGGTAATCCGTCGAAACCTTTCTGAGGAATCCTGGAGAATCCTTTGGACCGCTCCGAGTGGTAATCATTTTGAATCTTTCTGGTGACTTTTTTGTCCTGAAGAACTGTCGGGGATCCCAAGGAATCCTTACAATAACTACTACTACAACATCCACAACCATAACAGCTAGTACTGCTACTCCTATTTGTTACTACCGTTTCCTCTGCTGTCACCGGTGCCGGACAAAAAAAACTATTCCTATGTGCTACTATCGTTGCTGCTGCTGTTACGGGTGCTGATACAATAACACTTGCTACTATTATTTTTCTTATTGTTACTAGTACATCCACAAATATTATAGTTGATGTTACTACTTCTAGTCCCATGGACTACTATCGTTACCACTACTGCTACTGGTACCAATGCAACTACAACTACTAGTGCGATCACAACTTCAACAAAACTTAACATTGAGGCTACCTCAACTATGCGCATGTTTGAAATGATCGTTGCGGCTATGGCTATTTCTCATAGTACACATGCCAAAACAACGACTGCGGCACCAGCACCTGTTATTGTGGCTACCGCTGCGATGCACATGTGTTATTCTCGTGGTTGCTATTGTTATTCGTACGAGAACAGCTATTAGAACTACCACTGCTCCTACAGCTGCTACTATTACCACTACGACGACTACTATGGCGCTACCGTCGTTGATATTACTACCACAACTATTACTATCACTCCCTGCTACTATGGAAAATTGTAAAGCTACAACGAGCATGCGGATGCTGATGATGATAATGATGCTGCTGCTGATGATAATGATGAACATGATGCGGAGGGAAGAGGAAGAGGGGGAGGATAAGGAAGGTGAGGAGGAGGAGGGACGAGGACAACGAGGAGCGGGAGGAGGAGGCCTTCGGCGGCTGTCTGAGACTCGGTCACCCCAGGGGCGCGAAGATAATCGTGCTTCGCGCGTCGCGGCCTGGGCTAGAGAGCTGGCCTCCAAGGTGGCCTCGCGATGGCCTCGCGAGGGCGCGAAGATATCCGTGCGTCGCGCTGCCGCCGTTGCCGGTGCCGCCGCTGTCGCCGCCGCCGTGGCCGCCGTCGCTGCGCTCGCGCGCGCGCTGGCGCCCGCGCGTGGCTGGGAGGATGATGGCGAGGATGATGAGGAGGAAAAGGGGGAGGAGGAGCAGGAGGAGGATGAGGAGCGTGCGGAGAAGAGTAGGAGTAGGATGAGGAGGAAGAGGAGCACGAGGAGGACGAGGAGAAGGAGGAGGAGGAGGAGGAGGAGGAGGATGAGGAGGAGAAGGAAGAGGAGGAGGAGGCGGAGGAAGAAGACGAGGAGGACGGGGAGGCCCGTTTCGCGCGAGACATCTTCGGAAGTCTGGGTTCCAACGTGCCACGACATGTGCTTTTCTAAAGGAACTCGCCATCGACATCTTCACTACTCCGGCGCATTCCGCTTGAAACATCCTCGGCGTTCTGGGATCCG